CAGCCATCTCTACAACTGAAACGTATTGGAAAAGTATTTTCGAGAAAAGTGTTAACCACAACGAGAACGCAAAGTGGCTGAAAAAGGTAGAAAGGGATAGAGCCACAACTATGTGCTGGCAAAATATCAGTGTCGTGGAAGTCAGATCAGCACTGCAGCAGGCCCAAAATTGGAAAGCCCCTGGTATAGACCAGATACCTAATTTCTGGCTGAAACATCTAGTGTCTACACACGAAACAATAACAATGATATATAATAGTTACTTCGATAACGGAACAGATATCCCGAACTGGCTGCCAAAGGGTAAAACATACCTTCTTCCAAAGTCTGGAGATAGTAAGGACCCCAAAAATTACAGGCCTATCACCTGTCTGAACACCTTGTACAAATTGTTAACTAAAGTAGTAGCCAGCAGAATATATCTGATTATGTAAATGATAATAAGATAATACCAACTGAACAAAAAGGCTGTGGCAAGGGCTCTTTTGGTTGCAAGGATCAGCTACTCCTCTCGAAAGCCATTGTAGAAGATTGTAAAGAGAACAAAAAAAATCTTAGCATTGGATGGATTGATTATAGAAAGGCATTCGACAGCGTCCCGCACAGCTGGCTCCTGAAATCTCTGAAGCTTATAGGAACATCTGAGAAGATCATTGATCTATGTAAGCGATTGATTTCGCTATGGAGTACTACCCTGTTAGTCAGTAAAAAGGGGAAGAAATAGAGTTAGGACCCATACAGATAAAAAGAGGTATATATCAAGGTGATACCTTGTCACCTCTTCTGTTTGTGATTGCGATGGTTCCTTTAAGTACGCTGCTCAACGAGGCCAACCTAGGTTACCAACTTAAAGGAGCAAATGATTGTCTCTCCCATTTGCTATATATGGATGACCTGAAGCTCATATCTCCCAGCCAAAACAAACTGAAAACGTCTCTCAATATTGTAAAAAAATTTAGCGACGACATACAGATGAGCTTCGGTCTCGATAAGTGCGCTGTAGTCACTTTCAGGAGAGGAATGCATTATGACTCTGCTAATATAATAGTTGATGAAGGACAGACGATCAAATCACTAGAACATGGCGGAGTGTACAAGTACCTGGGAATTAAAGAAGGCCCACACATCACCCACGATTCACTGAAAGTTGATATTAGACATGAGTATATAACGAGAGTACGTAAAATTCTGCAAACTCAACTCACGTCTAGAAACAAGATAACAGCAATTGGAGCTCTTGCCATACCAATCATGCAGTACAGCTTTGGTATAATCAATTGGACATTGGATGACATAAGACAAATGGATCGCAAAACAAGAAAACTAATGACAACACATAACATCCTTCATCCCAAAGCAGACATCGACAGATTATACGTGCCACGAAAGAAAGGGGGACGAGGACTAAAGCAAATAGAAGAAACGTACAACAATACTATCTTCTCAGTAGGGCAGTATATTCAAACTAGATCTGAGCAAGACCGCCTACTACAGATGTTACTAGCACATGACAATAGGAAACCAACAAATAGATCTATTGTAAAGCGTAGTAATAAGATCAAATTAGAAGCTGCGGAAGCCGGACATACGGTCGAGCGAGGTAACAGGTCCATCAAACTGTACTTGAAGCAATGTGTCGAAGAGAAATGGCGGAGTAAGCCTCTACACGGACAGCATATCCGTCAAATGGAGGAGCTTCCGGTTGACTTAAGACTGTCATTTGGATGGTTACAATACGGAGATTTAAAAGGGGAAACCGAAAGCTTGCTGGTGGCAGCACAAGACCAAGCCTTGAAAACGCGTTACATTGAGCAAGCAATACACAAGACGAGGAATGACGGTAAATGCAGATTGTGTCACATTCACAATGAAACTGTTGAACATATAATATCTGCATGTCCAATACTAGCGCCAAAAGAATATACTGACAGGCACAATAATGTCTGCGCAGCCATCCATCTAGAAGTGTCTCGCCACCTTGGTTGTCCAATAAAATCGACGAAATGGTATGAGCATCACCCCGACAGAATAACACGAAGTGAAGATGGTAGTATCACAATAATGTATGACCATCCCGTTATCACGGATAGAGAAATAAAAGCAAACAGACCAGATATTGTTATAAAAACCACCGAAATATGCTATATAATTGATATATCGGTACCTGCAGATAGACATGTCATACAAAAGGAGGCTGAAAAGCAAATAAAATACAAATCATTACTCATAGTAGTGCAAAGAATGTGGCATACAAAGGCAGTTGTTATTCCCGTAGTGATTGGTGCAACTGGATATGTCACTCGCAACATCCTAGATAACCTAAAAAGGATACCAGGAGATCATAATTTCTATCAGTTACAGAAGATCGCCTTATTAGGCACATCGCACATAATTAGGAAAGTTATAACATAACCAGCTCATAAACTACAAAGATCTGTACCCCTCAGGTCCTCGGCGAGGACCCGGTGTAGAGGTCAAACCGTTCCATATAAGATACCGCTACTAATAGAAAACGGTCCTGTAGCGTGAAAAAAAAATTTAAATAATAATAATAATAATAATAATTGTAATTATTATTATAATAATAATAATAGTTATAATAATAATAATAATTATAATTATAATAATAATAATAATAATAATAATACTAATAATAATAATAATAGCTATAATAATAATAATTATAATAATAATAGTTATAATAATAATAATAATCATAATAATAATAATAATAATAGTTTAGTTTGTTTAGTTTAGTTTATTGACTACATTACATACATTATTGTACATTTGAAGTCACAGATTTTTGCCTTATAAATATAGATACAAACTTAATATAATCATCGACACTGTAAAAACACTTGTCTATGAGAAAGGTCTTCACTAGTCTACTGAATTTGTAGACATTCATATTCACGTCATGTTCTGGGTAACAGTTCACAAATAAACTGTACAATGTGACATGCGGTTTGTTCAACTTGGATAAACGTACTCTAGAAAAAGGAACTATGAGGTTATTTGCTGTCCTGGTATCATGATCATGAACATCGCAATGCGTTACATATTTATGGAGGCTTTTATGAATGTGTAAAAGCGTTTCATATATAAAAATGCTTGGTAGTGGTAAAATTCGGTGTTTCCTAAAAAGTGGTTGGCATGGTGTGCCTTATTTCGAACCATCAATTATGCGTACAGCTGCCTTTTGGAGGGTGAACGCTCTGAAAGATCCAGAAGCATTCCCCCAAAGGAGGGCACCATACGACAACTGACTGTGGATCAGGCTGAAGTAAACTGTTTTTAGATTACGTTTATCCAAATATTCACTCATCCGTCGAATTGCAAAGATTTGCGCGGATAACCTGGAACAGACGAGATCAATGTGCGGTGACCAAGTAAGCGCCGTATCCAGTTTAACTCCTAGGAGTTTAACAGGATCAGACGCAGGTTGACACTTATCACAGCTGAACACGATAGAAGATGTTTTGGCGTCATTCAGCTTCAGTTTGTTCACCGAGAACCACTTCCTTGCCTGTTCCAAGCCATCAACGCTCAACTCCTGCTGACCCCTTGTTGATAACGTCATGTCGTCTGCGAACATAAAACAAACTGTGATCTATTGACGCAGGCAGGTCATTTATGTAGATGAAGAATAAAAGGGGACCCCACACCGAGCCCTGGGGAACTCCGTTATCAACAGGGAGCAGAGTAGAGTCGTAACCATTGCAACTAACATATTGTTTCCGGTTAGTCAGGTAGGATCTGAACAGACTTAATTCAGTACCCCGTACACCGTAGTACACCAGTTTTAGAAGCAATATGCTAGTATTGACACAGTCAAAGGCCTTAGTAAGATCGCACACAGTAGTAAAGGTTTTGAGACCACTATCAAGGCCATCAACAACATATTCCACTAAATCAAGTAACTCTTTGATTGTGGAGCTTCCCTTCCGAAATCCATACTGGCATGTGGATAGTAATGAATTTCTTTCGAAATATGATAATAGCTTGTCCTTTAGCAGGATTTCAAAAACTTTCCCTATGATGGGCACAATGGCTATTGGCCGATAATTAGATGGGTCATTCGCATCACCCGATTTATGAAGAGGAAGAATCTTTGAAATCTTGAGCGAGTCTGGCCAAACCCCTTCAGAAATGCACTTATTGTAGAGAACTGAAAGTGGTTCAACAAGAGACTCAATAGCTTTTTTAAGCATTGAGCTATTCAAACTGTAGTAGTCCAAGCAATGAGAGTTACTAAGCTTGAGAATAGCTTCGGCAACATCAGACTCTACAATTGGAGCCATAAAGAAAGACATAGATGGTTTTCGGACCTTGTTCAGCAATGTAAGCGGGGCAACACTTTCATTGTCAATTGAGCATACTATCTCCTTTGAAACTGTGGCAAAAAATCTATTGAAGCTATCTGAAGATACTATATGATTGGACTTTAATCGATTACGTTCTGAATTAACTATTTGCCAAACTGTCTTGTTTTTATTATTAGTTGTCAGTATTCTTCTGGAATAGAAGCTCCTTTTTTCCAGTTTAATTGCTCGTTTATATTCATAGCGGCAGTTCCTGAAGGCCAGCCAATCTTGCTCTAACCTTGTTGATCTAAAAATTTTCTTGTATCTAAATAATTGCTTGCGCATATATTTGAGCCTCTTTGTGAACCATCTCAAACCATTATTCCTATTATCAATTTTCCGCAAAGGAAAACAGGCGTCAATTTCTAAATTTAGAGCATCGAGTATTGAATTTGCTAGATTATCAGCAGTACGCGTATTACTCTCAGGAAAAGACCAGTCAAAATCGTGAAGCTTGCTGGCGAATAACGATAGCCCCTTGCTAGTAACGTTTCTTATCTTAAAAGAGCTACTACAACGGGCTTGCTTGATTGATGGAATAAAAATGTAAACTCCACAATGATCAGAAAGGTTGGGATCAAGAACACCGGTAATACGGCTCTTAATGTCGATATTCGTTAGTATATTATCTAGGCAGGAACTGGTGGAGGAAGTGATACGCGTAGGCTGGCTAATACAATGTGAGAGACCATATGATGAAAAGGCGTTAACAAAGTCAAAAGCAATAGGCGAGCAACTGGTAAAGTCTAGATTCAAATCGCCGACTATGATTATATTTTTATACCTAGAATACAAATAATCAATCATAAGGACTAGTTTGTCTTTGAATATGGCTATATCACCACAAGAGGATGACCTGTATGTGGTGATTACAGCCATGTTTTTAGATGGAGCTGCAATTCCACAAAACTCTGCATGAAATGGTATACAAAAGGTGCTGAGATCAATATCTTTATAATCTGAATGACTGTTAACCAAAATTGCAACGCCACCATGCGCATTTGCTGGCCTACAGTAAGAAGAAATAACAGAGTAACTATTAAAATTAATCGAGTCCAATCTATCACTGTCCAGCCAATGTTCCGATAAACAAATGATATCAAAGGAACATTCACTCAACGACAAACACAGCTCATCTACTTTGCTAGATAAGCCTTGGATGTTCAAATGCATTATTGAGAGACCACATGCAGTAGAGCAGCCCTTCTCTGAAGAATGGGAGGGCGCACTTCTCTTGAATGCCGACCCTCGGCACCATTTTCTGACCTCTTGGGATCTCCTTTCGTGTTTCTTGCAAGAAAAAACCGGTTTAACAAAACACCTGTAGGCCAGATGTTACTGTCGATAATGGAAGCTTCGTCGACTGGAACTTAAACCTTGAAAGATGAGTACCTCTCCGGATATCTGGCTGTCAACCTCTCGACCTTTACACTTGGAGCAACTGCTTTCAAATAATCAGAGAGAACCACTTCATCTGTTTGTGGATCAAGGCGCGTTACATGATAGAGTCTTACAGAATTCGAAGTAGCAGCCTTTAAGGGACACCCTTGCATTCCAGACATACTACCTACTAGTAAATTTTTGGGTTTGCTTTTGCTATTATCTACATAGATTTTCTTATCGTAATCATTATTCATATTTATTAAAGTGCTGCAAACACTGCTGGTCTAGGCGCTGTGTATCGCTCCGGCAACCAACGATTTCTTTATAGGCTGCTTTCCAAAGGTAAGATCGCTGCCATGTGTCGTCGCTGTAGGTGGATTAAGGATTTTCTCCGTATGACTGCGATTCACGTGATGCCATTAAATTCGGCTTATTGTTTGTCATACCTGGCGCTGTAAGAGTCTGCTTAGTTTGTTTCAGCATGGCGATTTGTTCAGTTAAAGCCGAAATCGCTATTTGCTGGTTTTGTATTGTTACCTGCTGAGCTTCTATAATAGCGTCCTTATGCTTTAAAAGCTCTTCTAGATAGTAGATTCTATCTTTGCCAGCAAGCCCTTGACAATCAGGTGGAACTGGCGACTTGGGTGCAATCGGGTCATCGCTACATTTACTACAGCAAATTACCGAATCTTCGTTGATAAACTTAGCTTTAATATTTTCCAAACAGGATTTATGAGACATCTTGCTACACAGCACACACCTAGGACCAGTTTTTTACTATCTTCCTACAGCGGACGCCAAATTGATTGCCATCAGCCATCTTAACTTTTTGGCGAGTAGTGTGTATAGATATCGCCGCCGGCAAACCTGCTTGGCACTTAGTAATAAAAAGTGCCAGCACTTACTCGGAAAAAGGTCTAAGTGCCGTTATATTATGAGCATCAAGTGACAAAAAGCACAATTGTACACTTCTTCACTTACGTGTCCCTGGTAACAGGACAAATTTGCTGAAGGTTCTTTAATACACGACTCACCGATCAGCACTACCACAGGCGGCTACGCCCCACGAGACAAGCAATGGTAGCAGTGGGCCTCTGTGATAAGGATGTTAGACGTAGACAAACAACTATCAATTACGGCCCTCTAGCCGCACAACTTGAATTGAATTAAACACAAGTACACCTGCAATCACAAGAATAATACCCAATAAGAAGTTCGGGAAAACACTCGCGACGCGAAAAACTTAATAAAACGATTTAAAAGCCCGAATAATAACACACACGTCGTGCAATCTCCTCCGATCGTATAATAATATTAATTATTATAATAATAATAATCATAATAATAGTAATTATAATAATAATAATAATAATAATTATAACAATCATAATAATAATAATAATAAGTTATAATTAATAATAATAATTATAATTACAATAATAATAATAATTATTATATAATAATAATAATCATAATAATGATAATAACAATCATAATAATAAATAATAATAATTATAAGTATAATAATAATAATAGTTATAATAATAATAATAATAATAATTATAATTATAATAATATAATAACAATAATTATAATAATAATAATAATTTATAACAATCATAATAATAATAATAATAATAATAATAATAATAATAATAATAACTATAATTATAATATAATAATAATTATAATAATAATAGCTATAATAATAATAATAATAATCATAATAATAATTGTAATTATAATATAATAATAATAAGTTATAATAATAAATATAATAAATAATAATAATGTTGGAACGCGTACTAGCGTCACCCCCGCCGCGCCCGCTCTGGCGAGACGACCAGACAGGTTGCCTAACCTAGAAGCTTGTAACCGCCGTCCTGTCCCCGCGCGCCGCACCTCGGAATGCAGTCAGTCGTGATGAGTCAGTCGTGGGAAGCAGTCGAAGTACAGCAGCCAGCACACGCGCGCGGATCGCGGAACGCGGAAGCCCGATCTACACCTGTCGCTTATCTAGCCATCCATGTACATGTAATCAATAAACTGTTCTGAACCGAAGACCACTGCGAGTTGAATTGCTCTGCTTACCTATCCTCAACAGGTTACGTGCCCAGAGACAGTGCTACGGACATTGAACAATTATTGCAAGTGCTGAAGATAATAGGAAGTGTGTGACTAGTGTTATCAAACATGAGTGTGGCAAAAGTATCCTGTATAGACTCGCTTAGCAGGGATAACTACGACACGTGGAAAATACAGATGAAGGCGTTGCTGGTAAGAAACGATCACTGGAGTTATGTATCTGGCGAGATAAAGCAGCCACGGATAGATGATGGGGACGAGGCATCCACGAGAGCTGTAGAAGCCTGGACTAAAGGTGACAGCAAGGCGATGTCGGACATAATTTTGTCAATAAGCCCCTCAGAAATCAAACAGGTAAAGAACTGTAATACATCCAAGGAACTGTGGCAAAAGTTGGAGGGTATTTACCAATCAAAAGGACCCGCTAGAAAGGCCACATGCTCAAACAGCTTACACTGCAACGTATGGAAGAGGGACAGGACATACGATGTCATTTAAACTCATTTTTCGATGCAGTTGACAAGTTAAATGACATGGATGTAGAAATCAATGCAGATCTATTAGCGATAATGCTACTGTATAGCCTGCCAGCCAGTTTTGAAAACTTCAGGTGTGCAATTGAGTCTAGAGACGAATTACCATCCCGGAAATTCTTCGAATAAAAATTATAGAAGAGTATACTGCGCGGAAAGGCGACGTTCGAGAAACGGAAGGCGCCATGTTCGTGAAGCGGAATTATGGGAAAAATCACGGTCACGCAGGAAATGGCGGACGGGGCAGTGGCGTCTCGGAAGGTGCACGAGGCAGCGGCGTCTCGGAAGGCAGAAGAACGTTCAGGTATAAGTGTCACAGATGCCGAAAAGTAGGCCACAAGGCCGCTGAATGTCCAGACAAAGGTAAGACTGTTGCCAATTCTTACAAAAGTGAAGCGAACTGTTCCGAACACGTGGGACTTCGTTACCGCGGAATGTTATCATGTTGAACAGAATCACAAAAGACTGAAATGGTGTCTAGACAGTGGCGCAACGTCTCACTTATGTAAAGACATTAGTTGTTTTTCTGACTTTGAACGTAGACATGATCATTTGAATTTAGCAAATAGTGAATTTACGGACATTAAAGGTTCCGGAACAGCTACGTTTGTTGCTGACGTTTTTGGCGACACGAAAAACATCTCGCTCCACAAAGCTTTTCATGTTCCCGACCTAAGAGTAAACTGTACTTACTTTCTGTTGCAAAGATTACCGATAAAGGATTTGAAGTTTTATTCAAGAAAGAAAATGCTTTGATCTATGATAGTAATGGTGATATAAAAGTTGTAGCCGATCGTAGTGGCGATTTATACTACGCGAGAGAAGGCGAAGCGCAGAATAAATCAGCTTTCATTTCGACCATGAATTCTAAAAATGTCAAACTATGGCATCGTAGATTAGGACATTTGAACTTTCAGGATTTGAATTCTTCATTGAAGAAAGGAAAGATTAGGTGGAATAAATATTGAAAATATGCCTAATAATGGGCTAACTTAATTGCGAAATTTGCATACGCGGAAAAATGACGCGTTCACCATTCCCGAAGAAGTCCGACAGGGAATCGGAAATGCTAGAAATCGTACATACTGATGTTTGCGGTCCCATGCGAGTAGAATCTCACTCGAAGTACAAATATTTTGTCGAATTCATAGATGATTATTCTAGGTATTGCACGGTATTCTTCATGAAACATAAAAATGAAGTTGTGCGAAAGACTCAGGAATATATTACACTGGTCGAAAACCAAAGAACAAAAAGATAAAGTGCATCCAATCTGACAACGGGACGGAGTACACATGTAAGGAAATGAGGATCTCCTGAAAAAGCACGGAATTTCACGTCGCTTGACTTGCCCATACACTCCGGAACAGAACGGTATAGCGGAGAGGAAAAACCGCACTCTCTTGGATACAGCACGTTGTCTAATCATGCAGTCCGGCTTACCTCCGATCTTTTGGGCTGAAGCCATCAACACGGCCAACTATTTGCGGAACAGATGTCCATCCAAAAGTCTGAACGGGTTAACACCCATACGAAAAGTGGACTGGAAAGACTCCCGACGTTTCGCATCTCAGAGATTTTGGTTGCAAGGTCTTCTGTCTAAACCAAGATCAGGCCAAGGGGAAGCTAGACGCAAGATGTAAGAAGGAAGGAATTTTCATAGGGTATTCGGAACAAACGAAAGGATACAAGGTCTGGTTGCCGAAGGAGAATAAATTCGTAATCACGAGGGATGTTAAGTTCTTGGAAAACGCAGAAGTCACATGCCAAGAATGGACAGATTTTATTCTGGAAGGAT